TTAATAAAATGTATTGCCTCTCTCTAAAAACCTTGTCTTCCTTAAGAAAACATTAATAAGAAAGGGACTTTAACTCCAGCAGCAAAGAACATGTTCCATGCAGCCAGGGGGTAAAGGTCCTTAAATATTTCAGTTAAAAGGACACCTAAAAATTGAAAATGGACTGCAGAACATAGAAAAAAGCTTGAAGATCTGGAAGATAACCATACTAAGGCCGATTAATTTCTATAGTGGAACACACACATATATATGATTATTATTAAGCAATAATAATTTTTCCATATATGTAAGAATAACTTTACTTTAGGGCAAAATAAATAGATAAATCACATTTCACATTTTTTTTCCTCTCAGGAATGGCCTATTGGCACCATAAGGCAGATACAAGTTATCCCAGTGCAGAGTCCCTGCTGCAATCCATGTAGAAAGGGCAGTTTGGAACAGAACCTGTACCTAAGTACACTTCATACTTTGAAGTCCCAATGACCCTCAAAAGATTTTAACTGCTTAAGTCAGTTCTATGAGTAGCTATTCGTTTATAATTAAAAACAAAAGAGAAAAGCAAGATAAATGCATTTCTTAGTTTCATTCAAACAAGTACATTACTTAGAAATGCATCATAATTATTCCATGAACAGTAAAAATTGCATCTTCATAATGCTTACACTAGTTTTAAGGTACAAAGCTCACAGGAGTAAGAGCCTGACATCCTGGCACTCAATGATGAGAATATTCCACAACCTAAGCAGCATTTTTGAAGCAAGCCCTACACACTCAAGGAAAATTCAGTTTCCAATGCCTGGGTATTCCTTAGCTGGGTATTTTCTATGCTTGACAACAGGAATCTAAGTATCAACTCACAAACGCTACATTTTGAACTCTCCTTTGAAAGTTACTGTGCTATCTTTAGTTTTTGGAGATTCTGAAAGGCTTCTAGGGGGCAGAAACATAACTTCTCATTTAACATGCTGCACTTCAGGACTGTAAATAGTGAAATTAAACGAACTCCAAAGAGCAGACTGAACTGAAAGATGCTCCAAGGGCTAGAGTTTCCTCTGACTTGTAAGTAGGAAGAACAATTGACACCTACCTCTGAAGGTTTTAACAATGGCCTTGAATAATCCCCTCCCAGACTGTGCCATGATCTTTGCCTGCAGATTGGTGGAATCTACAGAACAAAACAGGGAACAAAAAAAAGGAAGTGAAAACAGAGTTATGCAGAACATGCAGTTCACATTCACAGAATATTCATCTAGTTTATGTAAACAAGCAGAACATGAAAAGAAGGCAGATGGCTTTGTTTTTTAACAACTGACCACAGAAAAAGCAAACTGGTGGGGAGCAGCTGTAAAATAAATGACATTCACCCATTAAAAATGCTCAGTGACAATGAACCTTTGCCTTCTCTGAATCCCCACTCCCATCAGACTTTGCTTCTTTTGTACCACGAAAGCCCAAAGTTTTCCCCTTCCTCTCATTTTAATCTTCTCCCAGGTTGTCTTCTGACTTCTTTCAAATAGTCTTTTGTTCTGTTTTTCATTATGAAATGCTATTTTTATGCTTATAGGTTCTGCTCTTTCCAATTCCTCTTAGCTCAGCTCCTGCCATGCTTGTCTCCACAAGGCAAATCAAAGCTACAGCTCCTGACTGGGAAGCACTGGGACTATCAGAAATTGGAGCAGGGCTGGCAACAAGTTTTAGGTTATCAAGACACAAGATAACCAATACTGACAGGTCCATCTTCAACAGCTACAATGCTGGCACGAACTGTACCAACTGCGTTATCTTGCAATCCATTTTCTGTATGTTTCAAAGGACCATTCTTCCCCTTAGCTGGACTAGCTACCAGTGCTTCCCCAGTGGCCAAACAGTGACCTCTCCTCTGGGCAGCAGTGATGGTGTCACATCCCCTTTGACACATTCAATATTAAACCTTTTACTGCTCTGGTGCAATTTTAACCATACATCTCACACTATATAAGAATTTGCAGATATAACCTTATATATAGAAATATATAT